ACATTATTTTTTAAGTGATTCTCGAAACCCTGGACTTGAAGATTTTCTTTCAGAGATTTTGAGTTATAGTTGGATTTGTTCCCTCTGCTTCACTGCTTAAATTTGATTGTTTGTTTTTTCAATCTTATTGCTTGTTATTCTCTTCCCACATCCCCCGCGGCCAAAGAAGCCCTTGCCTTCGAGTTTCCGACGGACCTGAGAATAGGGTTAGATAATTTTCGAAACCTCTAACTCGAAAATTGATTTCTCCTTCAGTTCTGAGTTATCTGCTTTCTGCTTTGGACTTGGTTTTAAAAGGTGCGTCTAGGTGCGAGACGTAGCCAGGCATTGAAGATGGCGTCTACCTGAGATGAGGTGAGATACAAAAGGCGAGCGCCTCTTAGTTTTAGGCGTCGGGCACAAATGTCTTTCGGATTTTTTTAAAATGTATTAATAGGAAGTATAACGGATTAAAAAAAATGATTGTCCATTTTTCCCATATATATGAGGTAAGGGGGAGGTAAGATAGTAGGTTACCCCCAACACCAGGTTGAGAACAACTTCCGTAAGAGACCTCCGAATTATGAAATACCCTTCGTGGGACTCGATCCCATGACCTCAAGGTTAAGAACCTTGTGCTCTACCAACTGAGCTGGATGGTCATCTCGAATTAAAAAAAAGAAAAAGATAAAAAAGAATTGCACTAGTAGAAAAGGAAGAAGAACGCTGAATAAGAGTAGAAAACTCTTTATTTTATCACATTTTCTCATTTCTTAACACTAATATTCGAACTACTAATAAGCCTAACCCCATAGCCCAAATTTATAGTCCAACTCTGATGTTTATTTATTTATAACAAACCATTATAATTTCTTCCACCATTTATCTACTTTTAACCTAAAATATATACTTCTTCTAGAAATTTAGTTATTTAATAATACATAATTTATTTTAATTTTTAAAATAATAAAATATTAAATAAAATATTAATTACTTAATACATTTTATTAAATATAAAAATTAAAAATTTTAAATTAATAATAAAATAAATTTGTATCATTTAAAAATAAATGAAATAATAATTTTAAATATTAAAAACATTAAGTATAGATCAATAACAGTGTAGATTTTAGTGAAAGGGATCAAAATATGTTTTATAAAAATAAATAAAATAATAATTTTAAATATTAAAAACTTTAAGTATAAATCAATACATTGTAAACAAGTATTTTAAAAGTTAATAAGTGGATAATGAGTATAAATATACTCATACAATTCATTTATAATTTTTTTAGCATATATATATATTTATAATATTGTTTTAATTATAAAATATGTTCTATAATTAATTTATAAAATTTTTAATATAAAAGTGCGTTACGTTTACACCTTGCACCTAGGCTACATACACCTTTTGCATATCTTTTGCGCATAGGTGCGCCTTTTGCCTTTTAAAACCAAGGCTCTGCATCGCTCTGCTATATTCGATTTGCTGTTTTTATCTCTGCTTACTTTGTTGAGAAGGATAATTTTGCAAACTAGATTGCTAGGGAACCATGTCATTGTCAGTTAATTCAAAATCTGGGCAATGGGCAGGTAGTGATTTGAAGACATGGATCTAGAGCTTTGGAGCGAGGTGACATTAATAGTTTGAGGAAAGCTTCAAGACAACGGTATTTGAAAAAGAGGGAGCAAAAGAAACTCGAGGAGTTCAGGGACGGAATAGAAGATGAGCAGTACCTTTTCGAAGGTGTAAAGCTCACCAAAGCAGAATATGGTGAGTTAAGGTACAAGAAGGAAGTATATGAGCTTGTGAAGAAGCGGACTGAAGAGGATGATGATATTGGCTAGTACAAAATGCCAGAAGCTTATGATCAAGATAGGGTTGTTGACCAGGTGAAAAGATTTTCTGTGACCCTTCAGTGTTGCAGAGACCCTACTGCTGGGGACAAAATGAATCCATTTGCAGAGCAAGAGGCATGGGAAGACCATCAAATTGGCAAGGCCACATTGAGATTTGACTCAAAAAATAAAAAGAAAATGAATGATGACTATCAGTTTGTGTTTGAGGACCAGATTGAGTTTATTAAGGCGTCGATGATGGATGTTGACGAGTTTGATAATGAGATGTTACTTGACCCACCCGAGAAATCCATGGCAAAATCTGAATTGGAGAAACTACAAGAGGAACGGAAAGCTTTGCCAATTTATTCATATCGAGATGATCTGCTTAAAGTTGTTGAGGAAAATCAGGTTGTTGTTATCATAGGAGACACTGGTTCAGGGAAGACCACACAGATACCACAATATCTTCTTGAAGCTGGTTACACAAAACGTGGGAAGGTTGGTTGTACACAGCCTCGACGTGTTGCTGCTATGAGTGTCTTTGCTCGAGTTTCTCAAGAAATGGGTGTCAAACTTGGCAATGAGGTGGGCTATACTATTCGTTTTGAAGATTGCACTTCAAGCAAGACTCTATTGAAATATATGACAGATGGTGCATTGTTGCGAGAATTGCTTGTTGAACCTGGTCTTGCTAGCTACAGTGTGATAATGGTGGATGAAGCTCAGGAAAGAACTGTTTCAACTGAGATTCTTTTCGGATTTGTGAAGGATATTGCACGATTTAGAAAAGATATCAAATTGCTTATCTCAAGTGCAACGCTTGATGCGGAGTTCAGTGATTTTTTTATTCTGCTCCAGTTTTCAGAATTCCTGGGAGACTGTACGCCGTTGAGATACACTACACAAAAACTCCACATGCTGATTACTTGGATGTTGCAATTGTTACTGCACTTCAAATCCATGTGACTCAGCCACCGGGAGATACTTTGGTTTTTCGCACTGGTCAAGAAAAAATTGAGACAACAGGAGAAATTTTGAAGCATAGGGTAGGACCTTATTATCTGCCCTATATTTGCGAATCTTCCTTCTGAACCCTACTCCTGCTGGTGCACGCAAGGTAGTCCTAGCAACAAATATTGCTGAAGCATCATTAACCGTTGATGGCATTAAGTATGTCATTGATCCAGGTTTCTGCAAGATGAAATTTTATAATCCGAGGACTGGGATGGAGTCTCTGAAAGTAACTCCTATCTCTAAAGCTTCAGCTAAGCAACGTGCTGGTCGGTCTGGGCGAACAAGTCCAGGTAAGTGTTTCCGATTGTACACTGAATTCGATTATACAAATCTTGATGACAATACCATGCCGGAGATGCAACGTACCAACCTTGCCAGTGTTGTTCTTTCTTTGAAGAGTCTTGAATAAAGTTCATGATTTGCGTGATTTTGATTTTATGGATCGACCACCAGCTGAGGCTCTAATAAAAGCAGCTGATCTTCTGTTTGCATTGAATGCATTAAATAAAGTTGCGGAGTTGACTAAAGTTGGTAGACGAAAGGCAGAGTTCCCTCTTGATCCAATGCTATCCAAAATGATAGTTGCTTCCGACAAGTGTTCGGATGAGGTTATTTCCATTGCTGCTATGCTCTCTGTAGGCAATTCAATCTTTTACCGTCCAAAGGACAAACAAGTTCATGCTGATAATGCGAGGAAGAATTTTCATACTGGCAACGTGGGTCACCTTATTGCTTTAATGAATGTTTACAATGCCTGGAGGGATACAAATTACTCAACTCAGTGGTGTTACGAAAATTATATTCAAGCCAGGAGCATGAAGCGTGCGAGAGACGTCAGGGATCAATTAGAGGGTATTCTGGAGAGAGTTGGAATTGAGTTAACATGCGGTGCTAATGATTTAGAGGCTATAAAAAAAATGCATTACAGCTGGATTTTTCCCTAATTCAGCTAGGTTGCATAAATATGGTTCTTACCGGACTATCAAGTGTCGACAGACTGCCGATATACCTCTTTGATATACTTACAATTATTTTAAATTTTTAAATCAATAATTATTATATTTAAATTTATAAATTCCAAAATTTAACACTTAATCAATAATCTGAATTATTTAGATTTTAAGTTCTATTTTTATATTTGATAAACAAATATAATTTTCTTATCATTTTATCAAAGATAACGGCAAAATACATTATCATAGTATTACAGAGAGCATAGGGCATTAAAGGTAAGATATAAGGTATAAGATAATAATGTGTGCATTTCTTCAAAAACAAGATTGTTGTTTAGGGATGATAGTGTGGTATGTGGATAGAACGGTAAATGAATCGAGTCGAGTTTGAGTATTATTAAACTTGATTCGGTCAGAAAAATTTAAAGTTAAATTTGACTCGACTTGAAAGTTCACGAGTCTAAAATTATCAAACTTGATTCGAAAGTTTGCGAGCTTAAAATTTTCAAATTTGATTCGAAAGCTTGAAAAAATTTGAACTCAAATCATTCTCAGACTCAAATCGATTGAAGCTAAAAATCCGAGCTTAATTCAAGTTCGAACTCGAGTCGAACCTAAACCTTAAGTACATGAAAGACTAATAATATTGTTTTTATAAAAAAATAACAAATAAATATTAATATTATTAATAATTTAATTTTAAAATTATAATATATTATTTTTTTAGTTGCTCACAAGCTTTTCAAGTTGAGTATCAAGTAGCTCGCTTCGACTCACTAAAAACTCGTCTTCCATTCGAATATAATCAAAACTTTGATTGAGTTAAACTTAAGTAACTTACTATCTGTTTCATCTCATTGAGAGATGGCTGTATGATTTCATGTTAGAATGAGACAAACTTATAAAATTTTAAGGATTGAACATATAAATTCATGTTGGGAAGAAACAAACTTATAAAATTTTAAGAGGATAAAAACATATTTTTATAAAAATAAAAAATTCTAAAACATATAAGAATTTAGAATTTTTAAAGAGCAACCATCCCCTCAATTCGACGTTGTTATATAATTGGTTAGACCTAATATATAGGTTTATGAACCCTAATATAAATATGGATTCAAGTTCATAAATATAAATTTAAACTTCAAAACAAAATTTAAATATTCATCATTAATTTCGGTTATTATTATTCTTTATGAGTAGGGCCCAATTCAATTATACATAATACACAACTAATATGACTCTTTCAGCTTTTCACTTTGTTCCAAAAAACCTGTAACCCTTTTCCTGCAAATACATGAAACAACAATTATGCTAACTGTGTTACCTTCCAATATAATATTCCGACTCATTAGAGACCAACTTCAAATACCAAATAAATGAATACTCACTCCACAACCAAAACCTAAACACCACAACTGTGGGGACCAATTTACAGTTTCGATATCGAGCCGCCTGTTCTATGTATTATCTATTCCTTCTCTCCAACGACTTCGACTGATGCACTTTCTTACCTTCTCTTTTTCCCTGGTCGAAAAGTCTAATCATCCCAGTAATTTTCCCAGCCATCTCTGTTCGATGATCTTGTAGTTAGGCCATTTGCTGAGATATTCGGTACATTGCGTCGTCCCATTGGTGATTTCACTGCCTTGTCCTCATCCCAATCACTATCCCAACCCTGGTCCCAACCTTCAGCTGTTTCTACTTCAGTAGCTGCCATGGATTCTGGTAATCCCATTTCTAGCTCTTGGTAAGGTATACCATCAGGCCGTCTCTTCTTGCTAAGCATACAACAAACCCACGACCCTCCGAAAACTAAAACTGTTGCAATCAAGAAGTATGCTCCATTTACTGGATTCAGCAACTTTTCATAAGAAGGAAGGTTTAAGAAAGGGTTCCCTTTGGATGCAAGGGGGTTCATGCGTAGCACACAGTCTCCATTTCCAGCACTTACCAATAGCTCACCGGTTTCGCTAATAGTCAAAGGTATATTGACCTGAAAACAGTTCAGAAAATGCACATAAACTCTAGATACAAATAAGTGCACTGTAAGATATACAGTTACTAAGAATGGACAATTATTGGATTTGGGACATTGTTCAGGGTCAGGGTATCTATTTTCATCCCAGAAATCTTATGTACTTTGCTGATGTCCTTCTCATGCATTATTCAAAAAAGAAGTCCATTGATTTCATCTATTAGTATTAGGCCTACTGGTAAAGCGAGTATTATGTGCTGCATAACAGCAGAGTTTTGTTGGTGAAGTTAGGGTTTTGTTCTTTTCATACACAAGATACCAATTGGTATTAGGTAGGACGGTTAACAAGGTCCTTCATAGCAAGCTTTTTAAACTTGGTAAACAATCAATTAAACCTTCAAAGTACACTAAAGGCCCAAAGATGTCAACAATATACGGCAGAGATAAAAGTTCATATTTTTCCCTTTTTGTTTATTACTTAACAATGATGTACTAAATGTCCCAAACTTATGCAGATTAAAGATAACAATTTTGTCACTACAATTTAAATTCTAAGATATGCCACATTAAGTCATAAAGCAAGTCTTCTTCCTAAAAGTAATCAAATGATGCAGTTCATGCCTAATTTAACAGCTGGGTAGAATCAATGAATTGAAAGCTAGCTGAGAACTTCAGCTTTTGTTTAAATAGCTACCAGCTTAAGTCCAATTTCAAATTTTATGTGAATCTTATTCCAACATAACATATATCTTATTATGTCCCTATCGTATGAGAAAAAATGACAAAATAGAAGATACAGAAAAGACCATACCTTTTGAGTTCCGTGTTTTGGTACTTTAAGTCCCTCCACAAGAGATTCCCCAGAAGGGCCAACGACATTGACTTTCAAACTTTTTCTTCCAGTATTATGGACCAAAACAACCCGATGTTTGGACCCTGGAAAGGAAAAATGAAATCAAACATATTGCTTGTCCTCACTCCTCAGGAAAAATACCACTATGCTACTTTATGAATTCCACATTGCCAACAAGCAACAATACATGAAAACAAGTACACTATATTCATCATTTTGTACAATTAGGCAACAATCAATAAATACTGCCTAGTATTTGCACAGTTTAAATGAACATCTATACTGAGATCCGTTTCTTAACACATGGCAAAAATATAGCATAACAAAAAAAGAAACCAAATAATTTATCCTTAAATAACTGTTCACTTAAAACCACTCGATGATTTGGAGATTGTGTTGAAGGCATTTCAAATGTGTCAATTTTCTGACACCTAGCATAACCCACCCTCATACAAATAGATTAATAGATGAAGATTATAATTTAATTATAACTGATCTAGAAAACGCTTATGATAATTATACTACTATATTATAGTTAAGATGCCTTCATACGGACTTGCCCCTTGTTTCTTTCAGAATATGTTTTCAACAAAAGGATACTGCTGGAAATTAACCCAAGAACTGCATTATCTATATTGGTAACCAAATACATCAACGTGGCATTCCTAACCATTAACCTTCTATACATATTCCTAAGAATTTAGTCACCAGCAACACCTACCTAACAATCAGATTCCCATTATTTATTTCCATTTCGGGCAACACTTAAAAGGAAGCTATCATCCATAAAGTCGTTTATTGTGCTGAACTGCTTCATCCAACCTTAATCTAGCAACATAGAGAAACATCCAGCCTTTTCGACTTCTTTTCTTTTATTTAATCTAGCAGATTTAACATTTGTAAATAGACACCCTTGCTGTGTACCCAAGTCCATGTATTGCTAGACGGTCATGGAACAGTTCATAACCCTGTTTCCAAACATGTTCTAAAAATGCAACATGCCTAGGCACATTTATGCTCAAATTTACAGAATAAGAACACATATAAGTGTTAAGTTTCATTGCACATAGTTACTCTACTAGGCAGCTAATGCATACTCAATTTCACTTCAGTAATTAATATATGCATGATATTTCTCTAATAAAAACAACAGCACAAAATCATTAGCTCATTTAAAATTAGATGTAAGCATTAAATCACTTTCTATTTCTTAGAAGTCCGCCCTACCATCCTAATATACAATCCATAAAATCTTAAAAAACAATAAAAATTACCAGCTTCAAACCCTTTAATGCAGGCAGTCAAGGAGTTGCTGACTTTGCAGCTGTTAGCCACCCCATCACATGTCTCGGCAATCCCTGACTGAGTCTCGTTTCCATCTACATTCGGTTTCTTCTTATTCTTATCCTCCTCTAACCCATCTGCCCGTTCATTCCCCGTGCTATTCGGTTTCTTTCCAGTACCTGTATTCTCTTTCTTTTCCTCTTTATCCTTCAATTCTTTATCATTAGTGGAATTTGAAGTTGAATTGTTTGCACTACTAGCATTGTTTTTCTTCTCCTCCTTAACATCCATTGGTTTAACATTCGTCGCATTTAAAGTTGAACTCGAATTGGTTCCACTATCTGTTCCCTTTTGGGGAGAAGGTCGAATCACTTTCCCGGGATGATCAGATAGTTTAGGATCCTTCTTGTCCACTGGAAGTTGATTCACGGGATCCATTTTATTCAACGGATCCGGATCCAAATTCGATTGACTATCCGGTTTTGGATCCAATTTCTTGGTTGGCGACTGAGAACTCTAAAATTCCAACAATAAGTAATTTTTATTAAACAATAAATTCCATAAGAATAAAACAAAAACGACAATGGTCAACTAAAATAAATTATTGAGATAGATAGGGAGGAAGGAAAGAGAAATTACTGGCGGCGGTCGTGTCGTTCTTCGTGGAAGATTCACCAGCTAATAATCGAAACTTCCAAAACGGATAACCACTGGAAACATCGGCAACGACTAAAAACACAAAAATCGTCGCCGTAATTGCATTTCTATCCATCGCCCTCTTAATAGTCTTTTGGGTTTGTTTGTTTGTTTCGAAGACTAAGATCCGGAAATTGACAAAAACTGATTTAGGCAGAGGACATGAGATTCATAGAATCAGTGTCTCCGTTGAATAAACAAGTCCCCGATCAAAATTAGCAAACCCCCGAATGGAAGAAGTAAACAGTAATTAATTAACTAGCGACGAATCAAAACAAAAAAGTGAACAAAATTTAGCTTCAAAAGATGGCAAAGATCATGTTTCACGCAGTGACGTCAAAATCTTAGGAACAAATAGTGACAGTGGTGACGATAAAGATGAAGATTGAGCTGGGAATGGAACGATGGGGATTGTGCGAGGTTTCTCACTGTTTAAAATTGAAAATTTTCGATCTGACTTAACTAAACTTTTTATAAAAATAAAAGGTAAAGTACACAATGATCGGTTATTATAAGATATTATTTTTTAATTTTTTTTATGTAATTTTTAATAATTTAGAGATTTAATAAAATAATATTTTATAATTAATGGATTATATATATATATATATTATCCAAAATAATTATTATTATTATTATTATAGGGTAAGTACAAGTAATAATATGTTTAAATATTCTCACTTATTTATCATTGAATGTTTATATTTTTAATATTCAGGGTGCTCAAACCCTAGACCTCAATGAGTATTAACAATTCTTTTACCATATTCGATTCAACTCTGGTGTCCATCCTTAATTGACAAATGGAACGATAGAAAAATGTAGAATATTTCTAATTATGTAAGTGAAAATGATATTTTTCTTATTTCTTAAACTTTTTAATAAAAGGAATATTGAAATTTTAATTTTATTATAAAATGAATAATGTGTTATTAAATGTTTCTAGAAAAAGGTATAGGGTAAATTATGTGTTTAGTACTTAAAATATCATTCTGGATTGTTTTAGTATTTAAATTTTTTTTTTAAATTGTGTCTAAAGTTTAGTTTTTATTTCATTTTATTACCCGCCGTTAAAAATTTTAGTTTTTATTTCATTTTAATACATTGATCAAAATTTAACGTTATTTTTTGAAAAAATTAAAATTTTTTGTACTAAAACAAACCAAACTTAATAGTTTAGGTACTAAATGTATCAAAATTTTAACGACATGTATTAGAATGAAATGAAAAATGTTAGATATGTTTTTGAAAAAATTGAAAGTTTAGATACTAAAACAGATTAAAACTGATAGTTTAGATACTAAATATGTAGTTCAACCAAAATCATATTTTACACTCAATTGATTAAGTATATCTTAGTTAATACTTCAATTGTAAATTAAAAATCTATATTTATGATTTTATAATATTTTTAAACAATAATTTTAAAAGTTAAAAAATCATAAATTTTTAAAATATATAATCATTTATTTTTTAAATTGTATTTTTTTTTAAAACAAGACCTTTTTACGAATTATAAAATTCTAATAAAATCATTAATGTTTATCACTACTTACACTCTCACAATCCCGTTAACCTAAAATAATTTTCTAAATTTTAAAATTGATTACTTAAAAAATTTAAACATTGACAACTCATTCCAATACTATTTATAATTGCTCTTTAATTATTTTAATATGTTTTTGTCCTAAAATCTCAAGTCCAAATCTCTATATCTTATACTAATATTTTTCTTATATTAAAATAAATTGAAATTATTTTATATTACATGCATTAAAATAAAATTAATTTAGTGGGACGAGACACTAAATCCCTTGAGCAAGATTAAGTGTTTAAATCCTAATATTTATAAATAGATTAAACTGGATCGAAAGGATCATCTTTAACTCTATAATACCCAATTTGAATTAATCAATTAATAAATCAAATATCGATAATTATAAAAATATAAACAATTGAATAATCTAAAAAATATTCAGAAATGAAATGATAATTTATTGAGATCAATTTCATGGACCTTCTATGTTTATCACAATTGACAAAAACAAATAATACATAACTGGTCGGTTCATCATCCGTTCACCTCCGCACTGTCACTATCCATCGTGGCGGCGCCATGACTACAACGTCGGTAGCATATATTGATGCATAAAGGTCTAATTGTCGGTCAAACTCTGCACTTGCCGGCTTGACGGAAAACAAAAGCACCGTCGTCGCAACCGTTGTCACTCTAATTGAAGGATCATTTTATAACTTTTAATAATCACACATTCCACAAAGTAACATACTAAAATGGGGAACCATTAACATACTTTACCCTTTATTAAATTGAGTACAAGTCATTTAACTAGATACATTTGACTGATTGAATATTAAATTTACAATATAAAATAAAACAGATTATTTTAATTTAAAATTTATTAAATCTACTAAGTGACATCATATTATCGGTAGTAAAAATGAATATTTTTTTTAGAGTTACTGTGTTCAAGCAATTACGACTATGAGATTTATGTATATTATTAATAAATTAAAAAAAATATAAAAATATTATTTAATAATCATTTCATTATACGAAGAAAAATCTCACTATAGTACACTTAAATAAATATTTTGATTTTATTTTTTTATCACACCTTAATCTTTTTATTCAATTTTTTGTTAAAAAAAAATCTAAATGAACGTTATTAGTTAGACCCAATATATCTTTTAACTATTGGTTTAAGTTTATCCTTTGTTTTAGGACAGGGTCCAGTTTCATTCCCCCAATACGGGCACCTCAGCGCGTCAATTCCACACCCACCAACTTAACCGTTTTGAACTTCACTAGCGCGTGTGTGGCGTTTCCCTCTCAGGGCGGTAGCTAGGTAACCTGGCATCCAGCCAGGTCACCTAACATCAGCACATCATTAATATGACGTAATAAAAAGAAACCGAAAAAGATAAAAAAAAATAGCTACGGTCGTTGATAGATGACACCTGTGCACACAGAGTTCCGTTGGAATGCGTGGACTGTCAAAAGATCAATTTTTCCTAACAAAGCTATTCGACCGTTGTGGTTTACTCGTAATAAAGAGGAACACACGAGGGTAATCCAGGAAATTCAAGTCTGATACATACGGGCATGCGAAAACATGCGCTAGGATAGAAAAGGCGCCTAGTGGCGCACTTTACGGTGATGTCCACAAGCCGTATTTTTCATACTCTTCATATTTTCTAATTCCAATCGGTTAAACTACTAATTTCATCCCTAATTTTTATTTTCTCTCATATTTTAATTATTAAACTTTAAAATATTTAATTTTCTCATGAAACTTAAAAAATTGGAGGTTATTTGTCACTCACCGTCAAATAGTTAATGGGATCAAATTGATGTCGTTTTAAAAAAAAATTAAAAAAAGAATGTCACTTTTCATCTATATAAAAGTTTATTTATAACAATGTTAATGAGAAAGCGGTTGAGTGGCCAAAAAAACCCAATTTATTAAGTTTAGAGAAAAAATTAAAAAATTAAAGTATAGCGAGTGAAATAGAAGAGAGAGTAAAATTAAATTACAAAATTTATAATTTACCCATTCGAATTTTATTAGACATCAAAGTTTTCGTGACGCGCTTCCTAATTATGAGATTAATTATCAACGGCTTCACTGGGACTCGAATCCGATCGAACGGTTCGCCTTTGGCGATTATATCAACAGCAAGTACGCGGCGAGTATAGGTATTAATTAAACACTAAAAGAAACGGATAGTATTTTTATAATATGAAATAAATAATATTTTATTATAACAGAAGAATAGGGTTTAATTAAAAAAAATGGGTAGGGGACAGAGCTCACCGAGTCGTGCATGCATTTTAATTTTCGCCAAGTACCAAACCTTTTTTTCTTCTTCTTCTCTCTTTGTTTTTGTTTGCTTTGCATGCACATGAATCGCTTGCTGTCTTTCACATCGCCGATTCAACTCGTCCCTACTCGGAACTCCTCGTTTCATCTACTTCCGTTGCTCGATTCTCTTTTGTAGTCTTTTCCCCCCCCTTCAAATCCTCGTGTCTTTTGTAGTCGCTCATAGTACAACAAAAAGTCGCCGTCGTGTCTTTTTCGTTACGATATTCAACGCCACCGGCGCGGAACCTCCGGTTATATTCTTGTGAAGTTTTTTTTTTCTTATGTAAATTTATTTCTGTTCTGGTTTGACCGATTTTGAATCTGTTTCTGATTTGCTATTTGCTGACCGGAGATTTTCTCTGTTTCCGATTTGATTTCTTTTTTGGTTTGTATTAAATTGCAGGGATTAAATTTAGAGCATGGCGTTGAAGAGTTGCATGAATGATCTGTGCGGCGCTTCCACGTCGATTGAGTGGAAAAACGGCTGGGCTTTGCGATCTGGCGGTTTTGCTAATCTCTGCGATAAGTGCGGGTAATTATGATATTAAAATCACTTAACCCTTCTTTTGCAAGCTTAATAATTAGCTAAGCTCACTTTTACTAGTCAATAGCCACTCAACCTAAAAGCTTTCTTGATGAGTCTGAAGACTGGAACAATTGGAACTTTATTTTATTCATGTTTTGTTGTTTGTGAGTGTATATTCTTTTTGAACTGATTGGAGAGGCTTGTAATAATTTTGTATGGTGAATCGGGATATAATTTCCTTAAATTGCTCCTATATAAGTTCAAGAGTAACGGAAAGTTATTAAACGATTGAATTTTTGTTCTGATATCCTTTTTTTTATTATTATGGGGTAAGAAAAGGCAGTATCTGTTCAAATATCCTCCTTTTTAACATTGCCTGAAACTTCATTATGTTTTGGATTTCATGAAGTACTTAAGCACTAGGCAAGAATTCAAGCAAGGCAGAAAATTTTCCCAACTGATATCAATTCCCGCTGAAGAACTCCAATTGTTCAAAAACAATTCATTTATGATTTATATTGGATGTAGGTCTGCATATGAGCAATCAGTATTCTGTGACATATTCCACTCGAACGAGTCAGGGTGGAGGGAGTGTACTTCATGTGGCAAGGTGTGTGATCCCAAGTATTTAGCTTCTTGAGTTGTCCCTTTCAATACTCTCTTCGGTTCCATCCAGTCGTAATAGTATTGTGCTTAATCTTGATGCTTTTGGAAATGGCAGAATCTCCACTGTGGATGTATTGCTTCCAGGTGTTTGTTTGAGCTTCTTGAGAGCAGGGGCATCATCTGTACAAGCTGCGCTAAAAGATCAGGATTGAACCCTGTAAGATCAACATATCTAACCTTTTACTTAAAAAAGATTTTAAAATTATGACTTCTGCATATTTTAGTCTCATGCCGAGTAAACAATAAAGTTGATGAGTAGGGTCTATGATAACTAGACACATATCTTTTGATCCGGGTATAAGTTTACCTCTAATCCAATCTCATTTTGCCCTGTCTTAAATTGATTTAGTTGTTATCCCAACCCTGTGATGCAACCTCTTTTTCAGTTTAGAACATTTTTAGAAATTTTTTTCTCTTTCCTTTATTTTTATTATTTAAATAAAGTGGCTACATATATATTGCAATTTTTTATTTAGTTTTCTTATTAAACCTTAAAAGGAAAGACATTCTCACTGGATAACCTTGGAATTTAATGATTCTAAATCTAACCTTGCCCTGCATGTACAATGGCATCGGATTTGTGTACGTGAGGATACCTGGGGATAGTCATTTATGGAATGAATGATATGAGAGGAAAAATGAATGTTAGCTGTTAAGATATTGTCCTTTCAGGGTAATATCTTTGTTATATTAGTTGTATAATTTAGTTTGTTTCTGTTGTTCATACCATTGGTAATTTCTTGCGGCATACTTATACAACCAATTAGGTGGCTTAGGATTTCCTACTAACCGATGTTTAAATATTTACATGTAAAAGCTAAGATATTTATGATGCTTTTAAAACATATTCATGCAGACAACTGAAGATGTAAAGCCTAATGGATCTGGTATAGTGAAGGGTGATGCTGGTCAATTTCACTCGATAACAGCAGACAATCAATTAAGTGGCGTTGGCAATGAAAACCTAAAGCTTATACAGTTGAAGAACAATGCAGAAAGCACTGGGCTGGGACTATTGCTTCAGCTTCACAATAATGACTCAAGTAAGTCCTTGGGGCAAATGAAACAGGAGGAAGTTTTTCCTCCTGCAATCGACATTGGAAGCACATTCTTGTCAAATACTAATCAAACATCGAATGGATCAGTTCAAGCTGTGAAACCTACCATTTCTAAAGCTCATATTTCTGAGACATCGCCACAAAAAAACTTAAGTATTTCGTTGGGTGGTTCATTAGGGAACCAAAATGTCTTTCTTGGTTCAGTTGTAGATGAAAAAGGTAAGATGTCCTCAGTCTTGCAGCAGGCATCAAAATCTCTCCATCTTCTACCCAAGCCTCCAAAGCCAGTGCTTGCAACAGGTTTGGAAGTGAATGCAAGCATGGTTCCCCAGATACGCGTTGCTCGGCCTCCAGGAGAGGGACGTGGACGAAATCAGTTGCTTCCTCGTTATTGGCCGAGGATTACGGATCAAGAATTACAGCAAATTTCTGGAGAGTATCCACCACTGTTCAATCATTGGTTTAATTGTTTTTACATTCACACCGCGCATTAACTGCTACACTGAATTATTCTTCTATCTAATAACTAGTACAGTGAAATCCTTAACCGGTGTAATTTTCCAGTCCAAATTCCACCGTTGTTCCTCTGTTTGAAAAGGTTCTGAGTGCGAGTGATGCTGGGCGGATTGGACGGTTGGTTCTGCCAAAAGCATGTGCTGAAGTTAGTTCCTATTCATCATCCTACCCTTGCAACTGATATTTATTTTACTCTCTGTTGAGAAGCTTTGTTGCATATCAGTCAAAAAGAGTATGAATTGCAGGCTTATTTTCCTCCCATATCTCAACCAGAGGGCCTTCCTCTAAGAATTCAAGATGTAAAGGGAAAAGAATGGGTGTTTCAGTTCAGATTCTGGCCTAATAACAACAGCAGGATGTATGTTTTGGAGGGCGTGACTCCTTGCATGCAGTCTATGCAGTTGCAGGCTGGAGATACTGGTACTATCGTGAAACTGATAAAGGAGCAATTCATTATTTTGTTTTTAGCTCCCATTGACTAACACTGCATATGGCTCTCTGAACAGTAATATTTAGCCGCATGGATCCAGAAGGGAAGCTGGTTATGGGGTTTCGTAAAGCAACAAACAATGCGACAGGGCAGGTAAAGTGGCAATCAGTTTCCATGTTAGCAAACTTGATCATTTATTGATATGATCAAATAAACAGGAAACTCTACCATCTGCCATTCCTAATGGCACTCTTTCACGTGAAAGTTTCTTTTCGGGTGTTTTTGAGAATCTGCCTATAATTAGTGGTTACTCTGGCCTTCTTCAGTCACTAAAGGGAAGCACTGATCCACACTTAAGCGCACTGTCCAAACATTTGAGTTCAACCGGTGGTGATTTTAGCTGGAATAAATCTGGGAAGCATGAGGACATGATAAAGGAGGGATTATTACTACCGTCGATGTTAACTCCAGAGAGAAAAAGAACTCGGAATATCGGGTCCAAAAGCAAGAGGTTGTTGATTGACAGTCAGGATGCTTTGGAGCTGAAACTTACTTGGGAAGAGGCACAGGATTTGCTCCGCCCACCACCAAGTATCAAGCCAAGTGTTGTCACGATCGAGGATCACGATTTTGAAGAATATGATGTGAGTACATTTCCTGTAATATTTGAATATAACAATGCTTGTATTTGGTTGTTCTGGTGCACTTGACTCATCCTATCAATTTAACTGAGTCTCTGATGATTGTTTGCCAATGTATTTGACCAGTTATTTTTTTTTTTGTATTAATAGATAAAAGGAAAGCTAGGATCCGTTATGCTCTCTAAGTAAAGACATATTTATAGACACAACATTTATCGTGAAAGAATATTTTATCCAAATAGTAAAACTCATCTCAATTTTCAGTAAAGCATTGTGATTATACTGTAATTGTTTATGCATTTTTTTCGCACAGGAACCTCCAGTTTTTGGGAAGAAGAGCATCTTTGCTGTCCGTTCAACCGGGTGAGCATATGCATTATTTTAAAACCCTAGTCTGATGGTTAACGTGATAAGAACCTAATGGCACAACCCTTGTGCAGGAGGAACAATCGGTAATTAAATTACTTTTGCTACGAGGAACTCCGAACTTATAATTGGTGCTTTCCTCTGCATTTCTATTTTTTTTCACATCTCTGTAGCTCCTTTAGAAAATTTAGTAATACCAATAAACATCAGTGATGTTAACATTGAAGTTAACACCTGTGTCGAATCTGTTGATAGGACATCTTTCCTTGTTCTCTCTAAATTAGTTGACCCTATTCCCATACATAATGGGGTGAGGGGAGGTAAGATAGTAGGCTGTCCCCAACGCCAGGTTGAGAGCAGCTTCGGTAGAAGACCTCCGGCAGTCAAAATTATGAATTGCCCACCATGAGACTCGATCCTACGACCACAAGGTTAAGAGCTTTGCGCTCTACCAACTGAGCTGGACGGACAATTCAAAATTTATACTAATGGATTGACATGTAATTTATGTCAAATTAGAATCTGAAAATAATTTGTACAAATTTCAAGAATCTTGATTTCACACGCATAATGATCTGTCACAAGTTATACTAAAGGCTCATATGTCAGTTCCACTCGACATTTTGGAAAGATCAGCGCTATTTCATTCAATTGAGAAACTTGTTGTCTCTGTTATTGTGCTTGAAAGGATCTACCTGTTTCTCAAGTTTATGGTAGGGTAAATCTTTATTATCTTGAACAGCTAATCTTGATCTTCAGGGGACAAGAGCAATGGGCTCAGTGTGATAGTTGTTCTAAATGGAGAAGGTTGCCCGTCGATGTTCTTCTCCCACCCAAATGGACATGTGCCGACAATAACTGGGACCAAAGCAGGTCAAAAATTTCTGAATCATATTTCTTGTGCTTTCCTATTTGTATCCTGTAATGAGTTCCAAAGGAGATCTTCTCATTTCCTCTGCATTTTGTTTTCAGGTCATCATGTTCTGCACCAGATGAACTCTCCCCAAGGGAGCTAGAAAATCTTCTTAGATTGAACAGAGGTACATTTTGAGTATATATTCCTCTTCTAAAGAGCAAAGGAACTTATTAAATATTAAACAAGGGAAACCAACATCATAATTAGGGCTTTTCATGGATGGTTAACTGTACCGTTTAGCCTAAACGGTTAGTTAATCGTTATAACGGTTATGATATTTTTCTAATCGTAACGTAACCAGTAAGAAACGGTTAATCGTTATTAACGCTTCGGTTACAGGTTAACCTACTGTTAATCTATTACAATTATTTGTCAATTTTTTTTCATAATTCATACTATAAAATTGTGTAGCACTTAACCCATACTTACACCAATATAAGTGAATAAAATAAAAAAGTATACCACTTAAACACATACTTCACTAGTGTAAGTATGTATATCTGCCAATATATTGGTACCTAACAATAAACATATAATTATATTGGTGTAAGTATGTTTTTTGTATTTTCAAAGAAATAAAAAATAATAATAATAAGTTATTTGTATACAAAATTTATTAAAAAAATATATAAATTAAAAATAATAGAAAATTATATTAAGTTATTTGTGTAAAAATATAATAAATTAGAAATTTAATTATAAATTTAATTTATTAACTGTAACTATAACCTTAACCGTTACCCATTATTTTTAGCGGTTCGGTCAACTGTTTAGTATTAACGATTCGTTTAATTAACCTGTTAAATGTAACGGTTATACCGATTAACGGTTATGGTATTTTTTTGAACACCCCTAATCATAATCCCACAAAATTATTTTTCACTATTAAGAGTTGCTACATGCTTATGTGACTATATGCAATGATAGTTTGCTATTTGGGGTTGTTGCCTATTCGTTGACTAAATTGGTCTTGCCCAAAATATTCCTATACATGTTTGTTCCGCATTCGAATTGTTACTGGCTATATGTTATCAATGTTTTCTTTTTCTTGATTTGATTGCATATCTTAGTCGGCTTCATTGAGTTCCAGACACTACCCACTAATGATACCTATTAAGCAATATTTTATGCATAGATTTCAAGAGAAGGAGAATAGCGGCATTCCAGAGACAAACCCCAGAGCCTGAATCATCATCTGGTTTGGATGCTTTGGCCAATGCTGCAATCCTTGGAGACAATGTAGATAATTCAGTCACAACGTCCGTGGCTACCACAACTAAGCACCCGAGGCATCGTCCCGGTTGCTCTTGCATTGTATGCATCCAGCCACCGAGTGGGAAGGGAAAACACAAGCCAACATGCACATGTGTTGTGTGCATGACGGTTAAACGTCGTTTTAAAACCCTCACGATGCGCAAGAAGAAGCGTCAGTCGGAGCGTGAAGCGGAGATGATTGCTCAGAGGAATCAGCAAGCATGGGGTCCCAGCGAAGAAGCGGAAGTGGACAGCAGCTCCAAATATGTATTGTCGTCACGCCTCGATCCATCCGAGAACGAAGCAAGATCGGTTAACGAGTTAGAACCCAAGAGTCAGAGCACCAGCAAGTCGGTTGAAGCTAGCAAGGGACAGATAGATTTGAACTGTGATCCTGACCGTGAGGACGATTTGCAATTAGGTCCGGATGGCCCGAGCATGACGAGTCTTGTTCAAGTGGCAACCCTTCCATTGGAGGCATATCTGAAGGAGAATGGCCTCACAAGATTGGTGTACGAGCAGCAAGGAAACTCGGCACCGTCAAACGCTCCGCCGCAGAGCACGAGCGGGACTGGGGAGGGTGAAGCACATGATAATGGCGGATTCCCATCGGCCAACGAAGAGCCTGAGAGTAAGGAAGAAGGAAATGGCGAAACTGGGTCCAACGGAGTCGATGAAAAAGACAAGGATCCTCAATGAGACATTTCCTGTTTCTGTTTGTTTTGCTTGAAATTCTTTTTAACTCCCTTTGGTTTGGTCTTCTTTTTCGAGTATAAAATCCATAAGTTGCCTGACATTCGGGGCTTCAATCCCCAAATATTTATGTATTAAAACAAAAATGCCATAAATACATTATAGGCAGAAGGATCACCAAATATTTTATACTTTTGCTCTATTCGAAGTTTTAAGCTTTTTTCTTTCTTTCAAATAGATTATTTTTTATTTTTTGATGAAAGGTATGATTCCATTAAGTGAAAGATTATACACCGGAAAATATATAAGCCTTGTTAAAAATCTCCCTTAGACGGAGGAAAATAATACCTATACTAATATCGGAGAAACAAAATACATCCCCAACCTAATAGGAGGTAAAGAATACCTATACTAATATCGGAGAAACATCGATAACAACACATGATTAATTATGGGATAAATCCTCATGCAATGCCGTAAATATCTAGCTTGGAGGGTCTGCATAATAAAGTAGTTTCCAAACTCTCCTCCCCTGCACTCTTAGTGTATCAGCCACGTTATTACCTTCGTGCCGAATATATTGATACTCTAATCTCGATTTCTAAGCTCATCCAAGTGTCATTTAAGAAAGTGATTCCCCCTTGAAATTATCCTTTTACACAATAATAGCTTCCAAACTGTCCACCTCAGTCATCACATCTCGACAACTGTTCTCTCAAGCATAGAAAAGAGCGTAGAAAGTGCCCCAAAACTCGACATCCAGTACCGAGCAAATACCAAGAAATTAATAAAACCCGAAACACCAATCACCTACTTCATTCCTGGCGACCCCTCACACTTGGCGAAACCAATCGATGGACAGCAAGAACCATCTGAATGTACCTTGACCCACTGCTGATCTGCAGGAGTCCAACTCTCGACAACCGTGCACCTGTTCCCCCCCCCCCCTCGTTTGTCAAATAATTTATTAATGTTTTATTTCGTTCGTGTTTTGAAATTAAAATGTTCTTAAAAAATTATCTTCCAATAAATATATAGCATGTGATCTAATTTTTATTTTTTTAGTTTAAAAGAAAATCTCTTAAAATCTTTTTATTGAAGAAAAATCATAGAGCTTTAAATCTATCCTTTCGTTGTTGGACCTTGTCTTTTTGTCATTCATTCTATTATCATCACACAAAGTCTTCAGTCGTCGTTCGCCCAGCCTCCATTTCGATATCAAGAAGGCTAAGACGGTGGGAGAACCGCATATTTTATCTTCTATATGTTGCCTTTAACAAAAAAAGGATGAATATATTACAAGCAATCAGTATCCTTCCATACTAAACGATGATCTTTCTACTGTGGCGGAGACCCAGTTTTATTAGAGTAGCGTTCATATTAAAATTCGAATATTCTTCGATTAGTTATTTATTTGACTAATAACGTCTATTCAGAAATTTGAGTTTTCTTCAATTAGTTACTTATTTTATTTACGATGCACATCTTAAAATTTTATTTGTACTCACATTATTTAAAATTTTTATGTTGTTAATATATATATACATACTCTCAAAAATATTTATGAATCAATCACCGTAAAAACATGTAATGAATAGAAAAATACAAGCTCTTAGTCAACGCTGCATCTCACTTTCGAGAAAATGTCGGCATAAGAATTATCTTCACGGAAAATATACTGAAAATTTATCTCCCAACCACGAAAGTTCGATTAATTATTAATCGAGATTTGATCGAACATCTTAATCATCATGTATTTGTATATACGCCACACCTTCAATCAATAAAATCAAGATATTATTCTCGGGGTCTTTAATCTATAATTATGATGCTTACATGAACCTCAAAGATAAAATAAAGCAAGAACCTACACCCCAAGTTAATCCCTACACAATATATAATAAACCTTAATCGTCTATGTGGACGTATAAATGAAAATTTACTCATTTTAATGATACTAAATAAACGTTAAATTTATGAGGTGCCGGAATCACTCCACACTTGTGTAATGATTTATGAGGTTGACAAGTCAGCATCTATGCCATCCTAATTTTCATTTTCATAGAATCACATTAATAATCTAACCATATAGAATGCTTTGAAAGGTACAAACCGAACGGCCAGTTATAAAAGAATTGTTGTTATTTTTGAGATTTTGAGTTCGAACACTAAAAATACCGAATGTAGATGTTTAGTGTTATATGGTCGAGAGTTTTAATAAAAAAATTGATTTGAAAGAAAAGTGAAAATTATATGAATAATATTATATAGGAGATGTGGCACCAGCCCACACCATTTGTCCAAATATCTTAGGTGAACATATAAGGTTTTGAAAGGAGTGAATCTCATACTTCATTTAATAAATGAAAAAAAAAACGAACTTAAACATATTTATTAAATCTCATATTTGCACTATTATTGCATAAATGGATTAAATTAAAAAATTATTAGTACACGAATTAATGTACCTCAGTAGTTAAAGGATGATTGTGAGGTCTCAAATTTGAATACGTTGAATGTCAGGAGTGTTTAAGCGTTTATCGTTGAATGGGTTGAGTTTTTTTGAGTATATACTACCTTATAATCATTCAGATTAACAAAAAAAAACATTTTTATTAACCTAAATGAATACCAGATAATATTTATTTAAAAACTCGATCATTTAAACAAAAATGCTTATAAACCCCCTGCTTAAACGGTGATCAAATCCACTAAAATCACTTATTTTGTGCTTAAATTAAACTTAGTGTTTAATAATAGGATAAAGTACACATATGGTCCTCTGATTATTGGGTATTACTTTATTAAGTGTATCGACTATCAAAACTTACAAAATGGTCATCTGACTATTGAACATTATTATTTTTAAGTCCTTCGACTATTAAAAGTTACAAAATGGTCATGCGACTATTCATTATGTTCCAAACTCATCATTTTCCGTTAAAAAATTAACAGTTGTCTAAGTAGGACGTTAATATGATTACTGAGATATAATAGTCATTTGAGATTCTGGATTAGACTTTATCATATCACAGTCATCATGTTAATGTTTAGCTCATAATATTGTCAATTTTTATAATGAAATATGACGAATTTGGAACATAATGAATAATTGGATGATCATTCTTAACTTTTAATAGTCGAATGACTCAACAAAGTAACACTCTATAGTCGAAGGATTATTTTATAACTTTTCGTAATCGAGAGACTTAATAAAGCGAGATCCTATAGTCGAGAGACAATTGATGTACTTTACCCTTGATAATAATAATTTTCATTATAATTAGTTCGTGTAAAATTTTATATAATATACTTAAAAGAAAAGAGGACGAAGCGTATTTAAGCAATATTTGTAAAAATATAATCGCATAAAGCGACTTAGTACACAAATAAAAACTCTACTACTGGGATTAATCCTACGAGTGATATCCCATTTTTATTCTATAGTTATCATTATCCTCCGTTCCATTTGCCGACCAACTTCCATGTCCGGACCTTCACTTGACGCTGCAAGTACAACAACATAAAACAAAACATTCATCGATCAATGTAATAACTATAAACAATATTGAATCAGACCATTAGCAAGTGTAACTTATAATATGCCATAGAGCTTCAAAGTTTGAAATCTCATACTTTAAAAAGATTTGTTAGTCCAGAAAATTATTTTTCTTATTTTATGCATACGTGAAGAAAATAAAGTGAAGAAAACTTAATTTCACGGGTTTAGAATTTTTTTTTATTTTGTAAAAAACAATCGTAATACTATAAATTTTGGTGTTTTATAATTTCTTTTTATTATGAAATATTTTAGGAGTCTTATTAAAAAAAAAAAAATGAGACTTCCACATTTTTGAGACGGATGTGATAACAACCTTTTGCAGTCGGTGCTGGGGCTGATATGGTAGGGGATGCTGACACCGCACTTGCCTGGGAGTTCACTTGCAAAGCTGTAGTTGATGCCATTCACGCTGGCGGCCGCACTTTTGAGGCAGTTGCAGGCTGATTGGCGGTCGGGTGTTGTTTGGGCGGCGGCGTTGAGATATTTGACGCCACCGCAGCACGCCGGTGGAACTTCGCCGCCATTGGTCAAGTAAGGTATGCAGGGTGCTAGGGAGCTCGAGACTTGACCGCAGGATATGGCCCCTTGAGCCAGTGGTGCACCCACGACCAAGCACAACGCCAACACACATGCAAGCTTAAGGGACGTAGAGCTAGCCATATCGATCGATTAATTACAAGACAAAACAAACGAGTTCACAGAACTTGTAAGAAAAGTGTTTTTGAGTAGTGCTGATCGCTGATTGTTGTGTGGTTTGAGCTTGAGGGTTCAATGGGTTTTTATAGCCGAAAAGAGAAAATTGGTAAACCAAATGTAGTAGTTATGGGCTACCGTCACCTACTTCCTCCTTTATTGCTGTCGATTAAAATCATGCCTCTACAGCCAGGACTGAAATATAGGGTAAATTACATGTTTATTATCTAAAGTATCAGTTTTAGTCCATTTAGCTACTTAAATTATTAATTTTTTTTTTCAAAATCATAGTTTCTAATTCATTTTAGCACATGTTAAAAACTTAACTTTAAGTTACGAACGAAACTAAAAGTTTAGGTTGAATCACAACTTAACTTTTTATAAGGAACTTATTGAGTGATTTCGGTTGTTAAAATGACCGTTGTTCTCTTTTGAGGTAATAGATTCGAACAGCGACGATCGCAAGACATGTGTGTTGTTAAAGATTAAAAAAGATTATGAATAAACATTATTTTATCCTCGTACTGACGTAACATAAATATATTTAGCATACGTGTCGTACTAAACAAACTCCACAATCTTTTACTCGAACAACATATTCAACAGAATTGGTTTTATAGTATATTTAGGTAGTAAATTGGGGACATGAAGAACCCATGAATACTATTGGAGTTCAGATTATTTGATCTCTCAATAAAGGGTTTCTCTTGTCTTAAAACTCTTTCATAGAGATGAAGAAAATATAAATTAACATATTTCTGGAAGCATACTATCTTATTATATAATTCATTATTAAATTAATTTTTAAATATATGTAATTCTACTCGTTGTCAAATAATAAATAAGACTAATAATTTTTACATTTTCTTTTCATGACACTTTAATATCTGTGACACATTTAAAATAATTTGTCATTTAATTTTGTATCATACCATTATACATTAAACATATGTACTCACAATTTCAGATTTTAATCTAATAATTTCTCATTAATTTGGACAACATATGTTTCATGATAAATATACAATCTTATGAGCTCAAAATTTTTCTTTCGTATAATAGGTATTCTATAACAATCTCGTTCAACAATCATATTCATATAGGAATCAAACCAATCTTTGTCATATTAATCATGCCTAGACCCATCAATAGACACATATAAAAGCATATCTATTTCTAATCGATCCTCTTTAAACCTTAACGACATCAAACTTTACCAAAATGAGAGTGAATATAAATCAAGGAAACTTTATCTCTGCATAAAATAATCTAAATAACCTTAAACCGAGTAACCAAAATTTTATCTACAACAAATAAGCATTTTTAAATTATAAATTCTCATTAAAATTGTATACGTTTAAATTATATTACACACATGATTAGTGAGCTCATGATACACTTGTGGTAGTCCTTAATAACCACATAATCATGAAATTTGTACCAATATGTTATATAAATACGTAATATTTTAAATTAAGGGAGGGAAGACTACGGTGATTTGGGCATGTCCTTAGGCGACAACCGTCGGATGCGGTCAGGAGGGTAGAGTCGATTACAGTCGACGGTGTCAGAAGGAGTGGACGACCAAGGCAGAAGTGGGAAGACTGCTTGAGATATGATTTGAAGGATTTAGCCCTTACCGAGGACATGACCTCTGATAGGAAAGTATGGAGACTTAAGACTAGGGTAGCCGAGTAGTGCGGGTCACAATCATACGGTGTAACATCTCTGTCTTCTTTTTAATGCCTTTGTAGTAATTCCCATGAGTTCTACTTTTTATACATTTTTGTCATTGGAATTTATGAAGGCTTAGAACTAGGGTAGCGGAGTAGTGTTGCCTTAGTTTAGGTTTTAACCCATTTGACTTTAGTCCTTCTCGTAGCTTGCTATCGTTGACTTCTGTGTATCATTCTCTTCAGGTTTCCTCTTTTTAAATTTAGCAGGGTCTTACGTTTCTGTCTATATGCAGAGAATTTTTACACAAGGATTTATTTGCAGGGATTATTTCTTATTACAGACGCGCATATGAAGACTGTTCAACTATGTATTTACTTATTTATTTATACATGCATTGCATTTTATCTTTATTTTTAATTTTCTGATTGCCGGAGGTCTTCCACGGAAGCTGCTCTCAACCATGCTTTTGGGACCAACCTACTACACTACCTCCCCCTTATCCCATTACATATGGGAATAGGGTTTTGTTGAACTTAATGTATACATAGACTTTGAGGTGTTTCTATTGTTCATAGAATAAATAACCGTAAATTTATTATCAAAAAAATAATTTGAGTGTTCTTTCTATTCAATATATAATTAGCATTCTATGTGATAATCTTTTACATCCATATTCCAATTAAAAATCGAAGTATGTATACCCGATAATCTTTAATTTATCATACCTCTGATAAGCAAGCATATATTATTTTAATTTTAAGAAAGTTGTGCCAAATCACCCCTCATTTAATTACAACAACGTTCATTATTATAAACTCTCGTATGATATAAGTGATTTTAATGGTTAAAAATTATTATTATTTTTAGAGATTTTAAATTTTAACATCACTTATGTAAGAATATATACATTTTAATGTATCAAATGATTAAAACTTTTTGAATAGATAATATATTATATTTCCCCAAATTAATAAAAAAATCATAAACTCCCTAGAAATTTGCTAAGAATTGATATTATTTTTAATTAATTAGATTTATTTATGAAGTATATTTTTAAAAAAACTAATTATCTTATTTTTATTAATCTATAATATATTTTATCTATTTTTATTATAAAATAATAAAAACATGGACAGTACATAATTATTATGGTTAAGATTATATTTGTTACACGAAATCATATATAAATATACGATTTGATAGATATGATTATAGTTAAAATTACTTTCGATAGTTAACCCTTCTAAAATAAAATATACATTCCCGTCATTTACTCTAAAATTAATAAATTTTAATAAAGTAAATGGATTTTTATTTCTAATTAAAGTATACCTTTTTAAATAATATGATATGATTATAAGATAATATATGTTTAATTTTTTTAATCAATTGATGACGTGCATATATCTTGTAGATATAATTACTCGAATCTAAAACTTCTAGAAAAAACATCATCATCTTTTACCATTAATGTCACTTCATCGATTCAGTTATAATTTTTATTTAAATGAAAAAACTTAACAAAATGGAAAATTACACTGCTAGCTACCGCCAAATCTAATGCTCAAATTCCTTAAACTTTGTATTTCGATTTTTTCATTCAAACGATACAATATGCTTGGAAGAAAGAAGATGAAGCGTATATTATAACAGAAACAAATATATTTATTGATGAAATAAATGGTCACCATAAGTGAATCATCTCTTTTGGTTTAGCCGGATAATCGTGGTCGGTGATTGTATAATCGTTAATCGGTGTCTAGGAAATCGATATCATATGGGAAACTTCACGACACATGCCACTTGTACATACTTAACCCTCCTACAAGGAAGTCACCATCACACAATGACACCCTCTCCCACTAGAAACATCCATGGAAATTGAAAATCCCTATCTAAATCTAATTGCTCCTATGGAGAATGTACACCAAATTTATTTCAAAAGATAAGATCAAAACCAGGAAACAAAACATCTCTATTTACAAATTACGAGTCATATCCTCTCTACCATTCAACTTGAGAAATGGTGGACCATTTATTCAGGAAAAGTTCATTTTGTATTGTTATCTGGTGTGGATCACCCTTAAACATTCGAACCGAACCAGCATCCATTAATGGATACAACAATGGCTCTCCATCAGTGATCTCTCAATGATTCCAAGGTAATCTTTATTAGAGTATTCTAATATAGACATGAGCATCAGAAGATTTCCTTGTAATCGATACATTCCTCTAGCGTGTAACCCTTAACCACAAGTCTATCCTTATATAAGTTTTGAACTTTCTTTTCGTATTTCCCTTAATCTTGTAAATCCGCTTACACACTATGGGTTTAGTCCTTTCTGGTAAGTCTACAAGCTCCTAGACTGAATTGGATTTCACGAACTCTATTTTAGCATACAAATCACATGTTCCATAGCGTCTTCCTATTTTGGGTAAATCATCCCTTCATGTGCAACAACTTCAGTCGGGTGAACCTGAACATCATACATGAAGAAATCAGGTTTCCTAAGATCTCTCTTATATTTATCGTTTGTAGGTCTTTCACTTGAAATGGGATCTAAGATAGAAACTTGTAAAGTTATTTCTGTAACACCATACACTCGAGTGTATGGGTTTAAAGTGCTACATTAGATTGAGAAGACAACCATTAAAGTTCAAAACCTTTTTCATTTTCATTTAAAACACAATTTTTTTTAAAAGACATCTATAACCGTTATAACATATTTTTACAACTGGAGCTCCATGACACGTAAATTAAATCAAAATGATATAATCTCAGAGTTTACAAACTCGATACTTGAGTAAGGGTCCCATGAATACACATACTCACTAAAAGTAACAGTTCAGTATTCTGAAAAGAAATACTGGAAGTCCTACAGTGATGGTGCACCTCGAATGACTCAAGCTACTAACATGTGAATGAAAACATCCAAACGTTGAGCTTACAAAGCTCGGTAGTATAATCGTTAATCTAGAACAAAATTATGAATCTCATAAACATAAACATGCTAGTGGATATAGTAATAAGCAATAAGTTCATGCATACTGGTAATTAAGAGCTATCTACTTATGATTCAACTGATATATCAATGTAAAAATAGTCTCATGTTTCCTTAGTGCGTAACTAAGGGCCTAGCCATGGACATATATTGGGTCTCAAACCTTAAGATCATGCAAGTCATGCATCATCATATGTAATGCATAAACATCACACAAACATGATGATAGCATATGATGTCACTATAACCGAAAAATACTAATCATACAATAATAAGTAAGCATCATAGTGTAATATGGGGTCA